AGACTCATCAGACCAGGCAACGTTTTTCCAATCTTCTATTGTCCAATTTCGATGAGCTTGTGCAAATTGTAGCCTCAGTTTCCTGTTCTTAGCTGAAAGGAGTGGCACCCGGTGTGGTCTTCTGCTGCTGTAGCCCATCTGCCTCAAAGTTCGACGTACTGTGCGTTCAGAGATGCTCTTCTGCCCACCTTGGTTGTAACGGGTGGTTATTTGAGTCACTGTTGCCCTTCTATCAGCTCGAACCAGTCTGGCCATTCTCCTCTGACCTCTGGCATCAACAAGGCATTTCCGCCCACAGAACTGCCGCTCACTGGATGTTTTTTCTTTTTCGGACCATTCTCTGTAAACCCTAGAGATGGTTGTGCGTGAAAATCCCAGTAGATTAGCAGTTTCTGAAATACTCAGACCAGCCCTTCTGGCACCAACAATCATGCCACGTTCAAAGTCACTCAAATCACCTTTCTTCCCCATACTGATGCTCGGTTTGAACTGCAGGAGATTGTCTTGACCATGTCTACATGCCTAAATGCACTGAGTTGCTGCCATGTGATTGGCTGCTTAGAAATTAAGTGTTAACAAGCAGTTGGACAGGTGTACCTAATAAAGTGGCCGGTGAGTGTAGATATATCGCTCAGCCTTAATCTCAACATAATTTTTTTTTATTTTTTTTTATCCGAGCACAGATATTGACTTGTATTACTCGTATAATATTCGTACTTGACAAAAGTGCTTTATCCGTACCGGATACTCGTTTCAGCCGAGTATTCGGCTCAACTCTAGTATTTTCCCTTTCACCTAATTATAACGTATGACGTGCTAATGTGACCCCGCCCACCCGACCCAACCAAACTCACACACACACACACTGTTTTAAAAGCAAAACATATTTATTCAACTTCATTTAAAAACACTCTGTGGGTCCCATCTTTTGGACATTCGTCATATGGCATTGGTTTTCATTTCTTCTCCTCTGAGCACTAATCTTACACATTCTGCATTGTTTAAAAAAGAAAATCGAATGTGTTTTTAATGCTAGTATTATTTTATACAGAAATCAATTATTTGTAACTCAGATGAGAATAATGTTACATTGTTAATTAATAATGTTAATTAAAATTAAGGAAAATAAATATATTGATCTGAAATATAGCAAAATAATTTAAAATTAATTCAGGTACATTTACCAAACATATCAGAAGGTCATTTTGTCTTTTTATTCGTTTAATAAATCAACTAATTATATAAATCTATTGTCAATGCACTACAAATAAACTGGTTCTATGCCTTTATTAATAAAACTTATTTAAAAAATACAATGCCTTCTGTATTTTTGTTTTGTTTTTCCCTCCATTGTACCGAACCATGATGTCGACTCTGAACCGAGGTATGAACCGAACCGTGACTTCTGTGTACCGTTCCACCCCTAATATATATATATATATATATATATATATATATTAGGGGTGTAACGATACACGTATTCGTATTAAACTGTTCGGTACGAGGCTTTCGGTACGGTTATCGGTACTCATTTTTGAACCGAACGGTTTGTTTGGTTCATTTTTCCTGCCGACCAACATATCGTTATTCAAATGTAGGTGGCAAGCGCGTTCATAATGTAAGAGACGCTGGCGTGACCACAACATTGCCCAACATCAAATGGAAAATGTAACGTAAGCAGAAACGAAACTGAGCTCCTCAGTTATTGTGTGGTTGTCTGGATGATTGACCGTTTATCAGTTTGGAGCCGTTTGGAGCGCGAGCCGATCTTGATCAGCACTTTTACCACACAGCCAAATCCAGTAAAGAAAACATTTGGATTTGCCACTGAAGTAATAACATCGCTGCGAGATCTAGTGAGAAACATTCACATTTCTCCGTTATTAACGGATCAAACAGCGCTGACTGGAAACCAGGAAGAAACATTGTGCCATGAATGAACTATCCAGTGTCCACAGATCAGCAACATTCACCATGGATTTACTGTATAACACTACTATCTGTAAGTTTGACAGGAATAGTAGGCTATAATGCTTTCAAGTAACATCACGTTGGTTGTATTTTGACATTATCAATACAACTGCTGCCCTCAAATGTTAATCTACTACAATTTTACATTTCATTTTGTCCAAGGAGCTGTTTTTTTAAATGCTCCTAAGAAAAGTCAAGTATCGTTCCATCATTGCTCAAAGTTAAAAATATCATACTTTACGATGTTAGTTTTAATAAAAGTATAATTAAAAAAATTTAATCAAAGAAATTTCTCTGCCATTTCTTTCTTTTTGCTGTATTTGAAACGTACCGAACCGTACCGTGAATTCTGTGAACCGTTACACCCCTAATATATATATATATACGACGGTTCGGTTTGTATCACAGTTTTAGGGTCACGGTTTTCGGTTCTGTATGGTGTTATTTTTTTCTTTTAATCTTTAACACTCCAGAAATGTACTTCAGCATGTGATATATAGCTTAATTATCCACACTTTAGGATACAGTATAAAAAAATTATATTCATGCAATCATGCACAAACTGAATTTGACTCTTTGACTTTAAGCACATTTTGGGACTATCTCAGAGGAAAGCTAGGTGAGATTTTGACACAGCAAGAGAGAAGACATTGACATGCTTTTCGTTTATTTAGCAAAACAAGGAGAATGTGTCACTATGTCTACAAGAACTTGTGCATTTTTATCACACAAATCTTATTTACACAAAGAAATTAACTTGCATTTATCAACTGCCAACTTTTGTAGCTCTTACAAAAATTCTATCTTTTCTATCTAAAAAAAGAGGAACTCTAAAACACTGTCTTTTATGAATAAGTCAATATACATGAAACCTCATTGCCTATAATTAGCTATAGCAAGAGCAAAGGCCACAAACATAAAGTTAAACATAAGTTCAACCTCAACACAAAAGACAGTATCAACAATGCTTCTATTCCCAGAGAGTGAGGGTACTTTTTTTTCACTTGAAATTAAAGTGCAGGATTTGGAAACATTTGACTAAAGCTCTTATCTAAACAAAAACCAAGCGAACGTTATAAGTTGACCTCAGACAACAATATAATAACATTTAAAAAGCCAGTTCATGACCCCTTTAATATGTGGCCATTTTTGGTCTTTAACGCGCTAAGTGTCGTTTTTTTTAATCTGGCATAACACAAAATCTTTAAATACACCAGAAATAATGTTGCTGCTGATCTTTGACATATTCAAGACTGTGATAATCCAAATCTAAAGTTTTCTCTTTGCATTTAGTTTATTGAAAATAATTGAATTTTTGTGTTTTTTCCTCTTATACAAATCGATGGTTTCGCCACCAAAACTGGTAATTAAAGGGTTAAAATCCTGAAATTGAATACATTTTTGGTAGTTATGACGAGGACTGATGCTGATTAAAAGATTTAACTTGGTAAAAGTGGAAAATAATAATAATATATAATATTTTAGGCAATATATAATATGTGGCCATTTTTGGTCTCTAACGCGCTAAGTGTCGTTTTTTTTTTTAAATCTGGCATAACACAAAATCTTTAAATGCACCAGAAATAATGTTGCTGCTGATCTTTGACATATTCAAGACAGTGATAATTCAAATCTAAAGTTTTCTCTTTGCATTTAGTTTATTGAAAATAATTGAATTTTTGTTTTTTCCTCTTATACAAATCGATGGTTTCGCCACCAAAACTGGTAATTAAAGGGTTAAAATCCTGAAATTGAATACATTTTTGGTAGTTATGACGAGGACTGATGCTGATTAAAAGATTTAACTTGGTAAAAGTGGAAAATAATAATAATATATAATATTTTAGGCAATATTTAATATGTGGCCATTTTTGGTCTCTAACGCGCTAAGTGTCGTTTTTTTTTAAATCTGGCATAACACAAAATCTTTAAATGCACCAGAAATAATGTTGCTGCTGATCTTTGACATATTAAAGACTGTGATAATCCAAATCTAAAGTTTTCTCTTTGCATTTAGTTTATTGAAAATAATTGAATTTTTGTGTTTTTTCCTCTTATACAAATCGATGGTTTCGCCACCAGCAAGGTTTCGCAGCACAAGGGTTAATAAAACATATTTAAAACATACAAGGCTTAAGACATTTATAAAAATGGCTTCTATATTTCTGTTTTGCTTTTCACTCCATTGTACTCCACAATCAATAAGGTCTGATTAATACTTATGATTTAGTGATGTTTTCACTGTTTTTTCAGTATTTTAATAAAGAAAATCATCAACACTGTCACCATTCTGAGACCCTGCGACCTCATATGAGGACATTCCATTTTTGCCGATTGACACAATGATAGTCAAATTTGTAAAATTTTAGCCCAATTGGCAACACTTAGGGACACTGCCCACACCCCCCTGTGGTGATATCACAACATTACACCATTGTCAGTGAGAAGAAAGTGGCTGGAAAATGTCTGGATTTTCAACAAAACAGTTCTACAGCAGTTCCCGAAAGAAAAATGACCCAGGTAAGAAATCTATTCAAATTATATGAATGAAACAAATGTATTTATGTACAATACAGTCTCTACCATTATATGGGTATTAAAATTTGACATATTTTAGTAAGAGTAGCACTCTAGGACATCAGTAAATGTGAAGCACTCGTTTGAGGACATTGGGACTATATAATGGTATTTATTCTACCATGTGGTTAGCTAAACTTAGGAATATTTAGATGGATAGCATTAGCATTAGCATTGAAAAAACAACATTTGTCTGTGTGTGTGTGTGTTTGAGCAGAGTAAATCATGGTGAATCACACTTGAAACATTGTAAATGACAGTAAATAATACTATAATATATGGTTTATCATGGTCAATCATGCTAGAATCCTGGTAAATCATTCTGGAATGACAATAAAAGATGACTTTAGATGACCCCAATATTAGTATCTCTTGGAAAAAAGCTGGATCTCTAATTTGTTCACGTTATCATTACAGCGAAACTTTCATTGTCAAAAGCAGAACGACTGCTCATGGCAATAGCAAACAACTCTGAGGTGGAGGACCTCTCAGATGGGGAAGATAATGATCCTGCTGTGGACGAAGTCATTCCACAAGATGTTGACCTCATGGATGAGCAACCTGATTTTTCGCTACTCGATGTTTCACCACCTGATTCATCAGATGATGATTCCGGTGAAGAATACACACCCTCTGATGCAGCTGAAGATACTGAAGATACTGACTCTGAGAATGAAATTCAGCCAAATCATCCACAAGTGCACAGACGTGGACGTAAAAAACAGCGTGCTGAGAATGATGAGCTGGATGAGGAAGATCAGAGACATGAAGAGCCCAGATCAGAACCAAGGAATGCTGAACGTGGAGAACGCTGGAGGTTTGTTTCATTAAGACCAAATTTGGTCCAGTTTCAGGATGGACATGATGGACTGAAAGATGAGCGAACCGGTTGGCAGCCACTGGATTATGTGGAGCAGTACATTGACTCAGACCTGATGAAACTCATTGCTGACTGCACAAATGCCATGTCACTGGGTAACAGTGGGAGATCTATCAAAACTTCGGTAGATGAGATGCATCACTTTTTTGGAGAAGCAATCTTGATGTCTTGCGTGCCTTATCCACAGATAAGGATGTTTTGGTCCAATGCCCTACAAATCCCTGCCATTAGTAACAAAATGTCACGTGCTCGCTTCTTCAAACTTAGGAGCCATCTGAAAGTAGTTATTGACTATGATGTCTCAGAAGATAAGAGGGAAACCGACAAATTTTGGAAGGTGAGGCCTTTTATGGACCGTAAACTTACCGGCTGCCGCCTTCAGGCTCGTACAGAATGCGTCTCAATAGACGAACAGATGATCCCGTTTACAGGGGCATGTCCATTCCGACAATACCTGCCACTAAAGCCAAATCCAGTGGGAATGAAGAACTTTGTGCTGGCATCTGTGGATGGACTCGTGCTAGACTTTGAAGTCTATCAAGGTTCAAAAACCCTGGCTTCGAAGGTTCAGGACTCAGATGGATTGGGTCTAGGAACACTAGTCATCAAACGTCTTTCTGAAATGCTCACTGCAGGCACTCAAGTGTATTGTGATCGCTTCTTTACTACCATACAAGTAGTTGATCACATGCTGAAGGATGATATTTATCTCACTGGTACAGTGATGAAGGGCCGAGTCAAACAAGCAATGAACAAGTTACCCGATGACAAAACCCTGAAGGACCAAGGGAGAGGTGCCGTGTCCACAGTAACCAGGGCAGATGGGAAACTTTGCGTGGTCAAGTGTTACGACAACAAGCCAGTTGTGATGCTCTCCACTGTTCATTCAGAGCAGCCAGAAGATACTTGCCAGCGTTGGTCCAAGAAGGGAAAAAAGTATGTGACCGTGAAACGACCAAGCATCGTGCGCGAGTACAACTCAAAGATGGGAGGTGTTGACATGTCAGATAGGATGATGAGTTACTACCGAATGTCTGTGCGGACGAAGAAGTGGACAGTTCGAATGCTGATGCACTTCACAGATCTTGCCCTGGTCAACAGCTGGCTGCTGTATCGCAGAGATAACCAGGGAAATGGCACCCCGAGGAAATCTATCATGAAGTTTCGCATGGTAGTGGCTCAGGTATTCCTCAGCAAGTGTGATGTTCTTCATGAAGGTGCTCATGTCGCAGAAGAAGAGAATGAGAACGGAAACCTTCCACCACCAGGCAAAAAATCTCGGGTCGCTCCAATCCCCCATATCTCAGTCCGTTCCAGTGCTGCTCATCTCCCGGAGATGGTGGCCTTGAAAAGCCCCATGCGTTGCAGAGTCAAAGGCTGCACTGGGAAATCCCGTGTGCGATGCATGACATGCAAAGTGTATCTGTGCTTGCAAAGTGAACGAAACTGCTTTGCAGCATTTCACACCGGCCAATAGGGGCTATTCCAGACAGGCTGGAAAGATAGAGGGAGCTAGTTAGAAAAAAAAGCCAGAGTTCAAAGGCTGCCCTGCTGAATTCAACTGTTTTTGGACAGTTACTGTTACAGTTTGCACTTTAGCTTTTTTACTAGCCATGTTTCAGTTTGTTTACAGTTTATGTAGGCTATACACTGATGTTTACATTTTCAAATAAACTGTGAAAATGTATCAAATGAACTTTTTTATCAATGTAGTCTATTTGTGTCAAACAGTAAGATAGACCCACTGTACTCGTATGAGGACATTCATTTTTGAGAGAACTACTTATCGTATTAAGCTGAAATTTTGAATTTTGACTAATTAGGAAATTCTGGCCCCAACAGCAAATAATATTTTGTAAAAGATATGATAGACCCACTGTCCTCGCATGAGGACATCCTTTTATGCAAAAACTACTTCCTGTAAAAAAACAAATTTTAGTTATTATACTTATTAGGTCCTACTTATCCCAAATAGCAAGAAAAAGTATAAAATGCACACCAGGCGAACTCTCGGGTCTCAGGAGGTTAAAAAGGCATTTTGAGTGCATTTGACTGCATATGCTGTATACTGTAATCTTATTACTAGTACTATTCATGTTCCTAATGTCCTTCTTAGTTGTATTTGTTTAACCCTCAGGTGCTCTTCGGTCATTTCTGACCGAAAAAATTTATGTTTTGAAATGTTAAAAATCACAGCTTCATCGGAATGTTACGAAACTTGGTGACTTTTATTCCATTGAGTATGTGAACACACAAAAAAAATTGAGGTCATGATCCGAGCATGCTAAGTGGTCGTAAAAAAAATAGTCACACTTGTGCTCTTCGGTCAAAAATGACCGACCATAGGAAATTGACAAAAACACAAAAACTTTGAGAATTTTTGTGTGTACAATCTACAAATCGGCCACGATGCAGAAAAAAAGTGCTCAGCATTGAAGGGGTGACACTCTAAAATTTTGTAATAAAAATTTATTGGTGTGTATGTGTATAAAAGTGTGTTTTTATGTGTGTGTGTGTTGGTGGGTGTGTCTGTTTTGCACTCTAGATGTTGTAGAGTGTCACCCCTTTCTTGTGGTGTACTTTTTTTTTTTAGAATTGTGGCCGATTTGTAGATTGTACATACAAAAATTCAGAGAATTTTTTTTGTATCAATTTCCCATTCATTTCCTATGGGTTGTCATTTTTGACAGAAGAGCAAAAGTGTGACTCATTTTTTTACGACCACTTAAATTGCTCGAATCATGACCTCAATTTTTTTGTGTGTTCACATACCCAATGCCATAAAAGTAATTTTCTGAAGAAGCTGTGATTTTTAAATATTCAAAACAGATTTCTTTGATCACAATTTATTGGTGTTCTTGTGTATAAAAGTGTGTGTGTATGTGTGTGCGTAGGGGTGGGTATGTCTGTTTTGCACTCTTGATGTTTTACAGTGTCACCCCTTCAATGCTGAGCACTTTTTTTCTGCATCGTGGCCGATTTGTAGATTGTACACACAAAAATTCTCAAAGTTTTTGTGTTTTTGTCAATTTCCCATTCATTTCCTATGGTCGGTCATTTTTGACCGAAGAGCACAAGTGTGACTATTTTTTTTACGACCACTTAGCCTGCTCGGATCATGACCTCAATATTTTTGTGTGTTCACATACCCAATGCCATAAAAGTCACCAAGTTTCGTAACATTCCGATGAAGCTGTGATTTTTAAAATTTCAAAACAGAACATTTTTCGGTCAGAAATGACCGAAGAGCCACAAAACGGTAGGCCTTTAATTTTCTTTGACTGACCAAATTTGAAAGTTGAGACTTTGTTTCATATTAAATATTACCTGCACGGTCCTGTCTGTCGACGCGTTGAGGTGTCCACTATTTTTCACTGCTTGAGAACATGGGTTAATGAATCCGAAATCGCCCCCTAAACCCCTACATTAGTCCACTAATAGCCTACTGTTCACTTGAAGGAGTGAATGAAAAGGAGTAAATAAAAACGAGTGAGCGAATTCGGACAGCTGTTGCTGACAGAGACGCGATCTGACACTCGTCCCATTTTCTCACATTTTTTTGGATAAAAGCGTCTTCGAATCTAGCCTAAATGTAGATTAATAATATTAATGACAATTATTATTGGCATTTATAAATGAGTTCACTTAAGACAGTAATAGGCATGTGTATCATAAAATAATTTATTTATGTTTTAATAAAGTTTTATTTTTTTATAGCTTAAACTGTTTATGAAATGTTTTTGTTTTAGGCTTTCTTTATAGGCCAATGTGAAGTTAAAAATCTAAGCCTTGTATATAAAGAAAAAAAAAAAGTTTGTGAATATCGTTTCACCAGTCTAAAAACGAATAAAGAAAGCATGTTTTTCGTAATTTAATTACGAGTTAAAAAAAGGGAAAAGAAATGGACGCAAAAGTACACCGTCAGACAATCAATGTATTGGAGATTGAGAAAACGGCCAACCGTCACCATAGATGTAAAGAAAACAAAGTTGCTTGTCAGATTTTCCTAACAAACAACCTTTTTTTTAATAAGCCCCAAAAAACGCAACCCGAAACCCGTGCTGTTTTTACGCGACTTAAAAAAAAAAAAAGTCGCGTATTATAAACTGCTTCGCGCCTCCCCTGTCGCTCTTTGGCGCCCCCCAGGGGAGGCGCGCCTCACCTATTGAAAACCGCTGCTCTAAAACATCAAGATTGTGATATTGACACTCACCCACACTCACAAACAGACGCACACACGCACAAATAAACACACGCCTATATGAACCACTGTGTCTATAATAGAGCAATGTTGTGAGAATATGTGAAATCTATTCAATAATTCAGTCATAATGCAGGAAAAGCTCACAGCAGTGAAGGGGTGACACTAACTTCAATACTGAAAAGGGGTGACACTAACTTCAATACTGAAATTAACACACACACACACACGCGCGCGCACACACACACACCTATAACAAAAAAAAAAAAGTAAACGTGTCCATGAACAGCTGGGGAATTCACATGCCTCTCCATAGAGAACTGTACATTTCATCTAGTGGTTACAACATGGTTCTACGCTTTCTCTCCATACTCTTACCAGATGGCGCTAATCTGCCTTCAAAAATTTTTTTTGGAAGGCCTAGTCTCTATTTTAACCTAAAATACTGCTTAAAAAAATAAAATAAAAAAATTATATATATAAAAGAAGTTTGTATTATTTTCAGTGGCAAAAATGGACCATAAATATTGCATAAATATTAATAAGTAACATCAAATTGGCTCAAAATACAAAATTAAAAAGAAAAAATATAACTGAACAAAAATAAATTGCATTGGTTTTACTGGGATGGAGAAAGTTTCATTTTTAGGTGTCCGGTCACTTTTGACCGGGAAGATAACAAGTGTGACTCCGAAACGAAGGCTAGTGATTACACCATGATTCTACGCTTTTTCTCTATACTGTAAATAGATGGTGCTAATTTTCTTCAAAAAATGTTTTTTTCTGAAGGCCAAGACTCTATAGTATACTAAAATACTGCATTCATAATTTAAAAAAAAAAAAATTATATATATTTAGAAAAATATATATACTTTTCCATGGCAAAAATAAACCATAAATATTGCATAAATATTAATAAATTCAATCAAACTGTCTCAAAATACTAAATTAAAAAGAATAAATATTATAGAACAAAAATAAATTGCATTGGTTTTACTGGGATGGAGAAAGTTTCATTTTTAGGTGTCCGGTCACTTTTGACCGGGAAGATAACAAGTGTGACTCCGAAAACGAAGAGCATCTGAGGGTTAAAGGGTTAGTTCACCCAAAAATGAAAATTCTGTCAGTATTTACTCACCCTCATGTTGTTCCAACCCCGTAAGACCTTCGTTCATCTTCGGAACACAAATTAAGATATTTAAGATATTAAGATCGCTCCTGCATACAGTCCATAGGCTTCTTGAGGGACTGGCTCTTGCTGTCCTCGAAAAGTCATTAAAGACATTGTTAAAATAGTCCAAGTGACTACAGGGGCTCAATCTTAAGTTTATCAAACGACGAGAACACTTTTGTGCGCAAAAAAAATAACGATTTTATTTCAACTATTCGTTAATTTCTCCCTCTGCGCGAGCCAGGTTACTAGTTTAATAGCGTAAGCTTCTGTTATTGTACGTCACACGCATCACACACATGACCAGCGTCGGCCAATAGTGAGCCTACGTGTGACGTAGCTCTACGCAATCACACTACCTTAACTGACTTACAGGCTCATGGAGAAGGAAGTGAATAGTTGAAATAAAGTCGTTATTTTTGTTGTTTTTTTGCGCACAAAAGTGTTCTCGTCGTTTGATAAACTTAAGATTGAGCCACTGTAGTCACTTGGACTATTTTAACGATGTCTTTAATGGCTTTTCGGGGACAGCAAGAGCCAGTCCCTCAAGAAGCCTATGGACTGTATGCAGGAGCGATCTTAATATCTTAAATATCTTAATTTGTGTTCCGAAGATGAACGAAGGTCTTACGGGGTTGAACAACATGAGGGTGAGTAAATACTGACAGAATTTTCGCGTACTGATGTTCATTTTTGGGTGAACTAACCCTTTAAGAATATACATTGAGTATTGAATATGCATGATTATCTTATTGGTTTAATTATCTTGCAGTTGCTGATGGCCACATTGTATTATTGAATCCTTCTGCAACACCACACTCTGTCGCAGTTGTAAGTGATTGTCTGTAGATTTCTGTTTGCTACCTAGACCAAGCATCCTTCCTTATTTTCACTGTAGGATGACGGTGAAGAGACCCAGGGTTCTCGAATTTTATCAAAAGCTTGGAGTGAGATCACATGTGGTTAGGGGAGGAGCCCCAATACAAATGCAATGGCAATGATTAATGTATGTTTTGACAGGATATAATATTGCCCAGAGCACTCTGCTTTAAAGGGTTAGTTCACCCAAAAATGAAAATTCTATCAGTATTTATTTACTCACCCT